GATATTACTCCCTTTTTAAATAGCTTAGTGAAGAATCGTTCTTTATATTAGGTCACTATATTTAAGAGCGATACAGCAAGGCATATTCTGCGGACTTACAACGCTAGAATCTGGGTTTGGATACCCGTGGTGGGTAGAACAGAGATAGCCCATTGTGTAGCTTTGTGCTTAATTACAAACAAACCAAACATGTTTTCAGCTCGTAAATTCTTTTTATCTCTCCAGAAATAATGATTTTCAAAGGAAATCATCACATTTTACAGGATTTTATAATTGGAGTGGTAAAACATTCTGAAATTACTTCTTACTATAGTCTTATTTCATATTTTAAGTGTTTGTTTTGAACACGACCACATCTTTTCCACCATTTTGTGGCCCGGCATGGCCAAGTGGTTAGGGCCAATCTGAGGGTCGCGAGTTCGAATCCTGTCCCACGTAATATGCTTGCCCTTTCAACCGTGGGAGCGTTATATCCCATTATTCGTTGGTGAAAGAGTTGGCGGTAGGTGGTGATGACTAGCTGCCTTTCCGCTAGTCTTTCACTGCTAAATTAGGAACGGCTAGCTCAGATAGCCCTCGTGTAGCTTAGCGCGAAATTCAAAACCAAACCACCATTTTGTTTATATCGACTCCGTTGTCACGAAATTGGTGTAGAAATATTTCTATTTTTTATTCGTAATGCAGTGAGATACTTCAAGAATACTGATACTGACCTTGCTGGTTCTTCTTTTAGGAGATGTCCTTCCGAAAATTACATTTCAATTTTTATGGGAAAACCTATTGACTAGTGATTCTTGATAAATATGTTTTTATTGTTGGATTGTGGTGTACTCAGGTGAACCAAAATATATTTGAGATTTACCTGATAGGTCCGTTTAACAGGTATTACAGGAAAGTGTTGAACTTTTAATGGTTCAGTTTGAACTAAAGAATTAACAGACTGAACACAGAGTGTAATGCACAATGAAAATAATCTTTATTATTAGTTAAGACGAAAACACAGTGTGTGCGTGTGTGTATTGTCATATCATTGGCTATTGCTTTCTCACGAAGTTTCTGATTGAAGACTTAATGAAGACCAGGTCAAAACTAAATAAACGAAAGGTTTCTATTTACCCAGTGTGTTGTCATATCATTGGTTATTGCTTCCTCACGTGATTGAAGACTAAATGAAGACCAGGTCAAAACTAAATAAATTCTATTTACCCAGCGTTACTGATCTACCGCGTGAATGGTCATTTTCATTCCACATAGATGGGGCGGGGATCTCTGGATATTACCTGTACAACAAGTGAAGTGAAAGTCATTGCTTTCAACATGCTGAAGTATGATCGCTTTAAGTAACGTTCTCCATAAAAAAAAAAACGAACAAAAAAGTATTAGAATATTTAGCTGTAAGGTCCAATAGTAAGAATTAAAAATATTATAATTACGTGTGAGTTAGTAAACAAAGTTTGAAATGGTTTTATAGCTAGAGTACTATCCTTGGAGCCCTCTCCCTCCCTGTGGCTAAGCGGCAGGTCTAAATGCTAAAAATCGGGTTTTGATGGGCAGAGTACAGTTAGCCCATTGAGTAGCCTTGCCCTTAACAACAAACAAACTGCCCTTGGGAAAATTATCTGTCATCCCTTCATTTATGCTGTGATCTATACCCTCACCAACAGATATATATGTTAGAAATAAATAAATATTTAAATACATTTATATAATAATCATTAATCATGATTTTGATGCATTAACGCTTTAGAGCATGAAACATAAACATTTATATTTGAAGAAAACACGTGATTCTGCACGTTAACGTAGCTCCTCTAAAATTAAGAGGAATTTCAGATTCCTTATTCACCGTAAGAAATTAAATGTATTACTATTTAGTGTTTGTTTGTAAGAATGAAAATTATATTCACATTTTTCATAAATCTCCAAAGTCGCTGCAATTCAACGCCAATCTGATGAACTGGAAAAGTTCCAAATAAATTAATTATTTGCACACTTACTGTTCTTTACCAGTGATTTTCACATTAGTAGAATGACTGCTAATTCTCATGAAAGATAGGTTTGACTAGTTTAGGTTCAAATTAAGTTAAGATTACAACGAAATTTAACTATTGCGAACTTGGAAGTACATGTTTCTGAACACTTGTTACAACATCGTGTCATCAAAAGTGTGAATTCAACTCGTGCTTTTGTAGTTTTGTTTCCAGATCTGTACATAATCCTTTGTTTACATATATCGACATAATCCTTTCTTTACAGATATGGTTATGGTAAATTTCGTGGTTATGCTGGTGCAGATCAACGCTTCGCAAAAGTGATGTTTGGTAATGGTAACTTGTGGTTAGGCTGGTGCAGGTAAACATTTCGTAAAAGTAACTTCTGGTAATGGTAACTCGTGGTTAAGACTAGTGCAGGTCAACATTTCGTAAAGGTCTCTTCCAGAAAGCTGTCTAGATGATTGACTGTTACATTTTTTTTATCTTCTCAAGTTTGAAGCGAATAATTAAAGAAATAAAGAAGTTTGAAGTCGGTGCATATATTCCCAACATTTAGTGAAATTCAGTGTTGAAAGGCAATAGTAGAGCAAGGTTGCTGAGTTTTTAAGGAACTTTTTTGCTACATTGTTTCATGAGAATTAGTACAAGTGTCTGGTTTTATATTGGTGTGTTTATTTATATGTGTGTGTAGGTATTTATATGTATGTGGGTGTCTACACGCCCGAGTATATTGATGAAGAACCGTTATCATACAACAATGTCCTAGTTATTCTTCCCGTTTTCCCAAAGGGGGCTTTTTTTTCTGACGAGGGGAGGGATAGAAATATAATTGCTGGAAAGAAAGAAAGTTTGTTTGTTTTGAATTTCGTGCAAAGAATACACGAGGGCTATCTGCACTAGCCATCCCTAATTTTGCAGTGTAGGACTATAGGGAAGGCAGCTAGTCATCACCACCCACCGC